TGGTTCTCTACATCTGCTGAGGCCCCCGTTTGTTAATGAATCAGTTCTTAATTTGCCAGTGACTTGTTTCTACAGACTTCAGTCAATCCAATAAACGCCAAACAATATTTGGTAACAGAATAAGCTCTTTGGCAAAAAGATTTTTTTTTGTCAAGTTTCACCTCAATCCAAAAATGCATTTTCCTTATAAATGTGGGACTATTTCAGGAGAAATAAACAGGCTTTCCAACAGTATGAGATTTATTGCAAAGTAGCACTGTTAGCACAAATCAAACACAAATTTCCTCACTTTTGTGCTGTTTGGATATTAATGATCGATGCATGTGTAACAATTTTCAAGCAAAGTTTCGTTCAGATTGGCCCAAGTTTTGAGGAGGAGGTAGGGTACAAACTAGAGCAGGGCGATATGGCCAAAAATATTTATCACGATATATATTTGAAAATTTGCGATAACGATATAACTGACGATATAATTGATGCGAGACAAAATACAACTCCACAACATTACTAGCGCAAAAAGACAACCTTCCATTTATTTTCACTTAAACAAGAAGCTGCTTTTTATGTACATTAAAGCTTTATAAAAATGTAACAGTGCAAATGCAAATTCCTTGCTGAAAGTTTAACCAAAAGGCATTTCCAGTAGAAATGGGCTGACATATCCTGAGCATAACCATGTATAATATCCACTGAAGTTAAAAAGAGGAGCTTTGCGACATTAAACTGCAGTGTGCAGTACATATTTTTCGTACCATAAGGTGCACGGGATTATAAGGCACATTAAGCGAAACAAAGCAGTCAGATAAATCAAACTTTATTAAACTCATTCTTCTTGCTTCCTCTACTTCTGTACCATTGATTCATTAATGTTGAATTCTCTGGCAGCTGCTCTATTCCCATGTTGTTGCAGTATATTAATGACTAACCTCGTATTGTGGATGGATTATCTCAGTCCTGACTGAAGTTTGGTCCGTTTACAGCATCCTGCCATGCGATTGCATTTGTCTTTAACTATCAGGAACCTTAACGTTAACTTTTATAAGTGGTAAAGTGTTAGTCCTCCAGCTTCACTGTTTATGTTATGCTAACATAGCTGTGTCGCTAGCGATCACGTAGCACATCATTATATACCAACTAGTCCAACTCTAGTAACCCTACAAACGTCACTGCTGTTTAGTTTCCTGTCTTCATTTATGTTGGAAGTGATAGCAGAGCTGTACGTTTGAATTTTTTCAGAAATCTCTCAGTCAGAACATGCAATATCATGCTTAGGTAACTAGCGAAACTAGCGAGCTAACATCCGCTAGCTTCCTGCTAACTTCTAACTCCGTTAAATGTAATACATTTTGTTTTCATGGATGCCTGGAAGTTAAACTTCATAGTTTCACCTGGTAAAGCAGCAATGCTGATCGTTTTATTAAAGATGAAAGAATTTAGACAGTTTTTAACTCTCAGTGATGCTGCAGTGTTCGTTTGACCTACTAACTTTCTTGGACTATGTCAAACTTGTAGTTTAGACTAACAACTTGGCCAATTAAAAAGGGATTAATTAAGTAATTTAGAAGCAAATAAGCCTGAAATTTTATATTAAGAATCTGAAATTTCAGAATTTGACATTTTTCCTTTTCTCCATATTTGTGATGTCTCTCAATGCTCTTCTGACATCTTTTTCACTGCCCCTCTGGTTCTGCCACAGATCTCTTCCTCCTCTTAAGTGCTTGCTCAAAGAGAAGAATCAGATGAGATCATTAGAGTTCTCTCTCTAAAATCAAAGCATCTTTAGCTTACTATGTAAAGCGCCCTTCGCTTCGGGTTTTGCATGTTTTGCATTGACGCCATTAAAAGCAAAAACAAAACAAGCTGAACGGAATTTAAATGAAAACCCTTCAAGTCGTTTTCCCCTTTCATCAGTATTCCTCTTGAATGAAACGGCAGTTGGCCACGCGCATCTGCCCGAACTACAGCAGTTCCACCACAGAGAGAGGTGATGCTAGCCTGCGGGCTCCAGCTGTCTGCCTAAAACACCAGAGTCACTGCCTTCTTCGCTTCTTGCTCTCCTAACATGAGATAATTGGTCTCAGGGTTGAGTGATTTATTTGGATAAGCTCCCCTTTCTTTGACTAAAATATCAAACTGTGGCACTTTTCATCTTAAACTAGCAAAGATTCTCTGATGTTGTTTCGAAGGAGGGCCATGACAACATAGACTACAAATATACTCTGTATAAATACAGAGCTGCTATTGCATAGAAATGTCTGAGAAGACAGCTGTGGGATCTTCCTGTCTTTAAAAAAAAAAAAAAAAATTGGTATATATAGCTCTATGGGAATACCAGACATCAGTTGGAAAAAAAATACTCCCAGTGGTCCAATACTAAGCACAGCAATTTGCTTTGTTAATTCATGTTTGTTTTGAGATGTTTTGCACAGGAACTTTCCATCACTCCCACAGGGGCCTTACTGACATAACCTGGAGCCTGAACACTAGCTTAGAACTCCACAATGAAGATGTATGACCCAAGCAACTTGCTTGCATTTGCCATCTATAATATGACTCTAAAGCAGGGATGGGCAATTATTCATTTTCCCCAAGGGGCTATATTTAGGACAAAACTATAACATTTACTCTTACAAAGACATAAAATTAATATTGAGCAGGACTGAGTTCAGCTCACTGTTGCAGCCCTCCACAACTGTCCCAGTTTTTCATTTCATTTCTTTAGAAAATTAATTGCCCATCCTTGGCCCAGAGGGATAACGTTTAAGCAACACTTTCAAGGCTGTGACGCTACTTTCAATGACAACATATGCTGTCAAGAATTTCATAGAGCAACGCTGCCAACACCCCACCTAGGGTAAAACTAACAAAACGAGTGCACTGCTGCGCAGCAGGAGAAGGTAATGTGACTCAACCTGTTTGCCAGAGCAGGCACAGACAGGAAGGGGGAAGTGAGAAACGGGAGGAAGTTTGTGAATCTCTGAGCACGGAAGTTGACAAACCTCAGTGTATCACCTGTAAAACACAGATGTAGCAAGTGGATTCAGTGCACGTGCAGAAATGGGGTCGAAAATGTTGGCTGACAAGGAAAAAATTCTGAATGTTTGCACAACTGATTGCATGATACTCACGGGGGTGGGGGGGGGGGGGGGGGGGGGGGCTTGCTGGTGCAAGTACAGCATGTTCATAAAGGCAAAGGAATGCCAGCCGGGACATGTGAGCAAACCTTCCTGGTATTTCTTTCTCTTGGCCTAGACAAATGCATTCCTGTGGCCTTCGCAACTCAGGTACTTCCACAGAAAATAGAGTTGGCTCCAGAAACTTTGCGAAGGTTAACCTGGAGCCGCTGGTAAAAGCTATGTCTGTGTAGTCAGCGATACTAAAAATATCCACGTTTCAATCTGTACCAGAACTGAAACCGGAGTGTAATTGTGTTATGTTACGATAACTATTAATAACTTTTTTCATCATCTGAAGCAAAATAGAAAAAAGGTGAGGATTAAACCTACATGGGATTTCTATCAAACAAAGCCAGGGGTTATCTTGCACAATGTTCCCTTGCTAGAGGGTCAGCAGGCTTTAATAAATCACTGTAGTTCAGGCACAGGCGCCCACTCATGTGTAAGTGCTTTATTTAGAGCTTGAGGAAAGCAGCAATAAGTGAGCATGTCATAACAGCTTTGAGCTTCAATGTCCCTTTTTATATATAACTGGCAAAGAGTAAAAATACACACATAGCTGGAAAGCTTATCGTTGGGTCTTGAGCTGCACAAGCTGCTGCTCCTTCCACTAACAGTGTGTGGATAAAAATTCTATGCTTTCGTCATAGTCACAGAGAGGCTTATGGTTTCTGTCACCAGCCTGTTTCATGAAAAGTGAGGAAAGGAGGTGAGCTTGTTGTAGAATAGCCTTTGCTTGGGATGCAGTGATGTAATACTTCAATTTCCTTCTGCTTTACACGGTTGAGTGTGCTGAAAGGCAGCAGCCTAGTCAAAACACCACCATAATTAAAGCCTAACCCATGATAAACACCTACAAAGAATGTCCAATTTAAAGACTTGTCTAGCATTAAAAACAAACAGTTGTAGCAATGCTGACTGCTGCAACTGTGAAAGGTACACTCAACAGCTTTACGCATGCATTAAGGTGCTCAGTAAATAACATGTAACCAGAGTGATCCACACTGAAGTTTGGGCGCAAATCCTCATTCGAATTCTCGCCATTTAAAGGCGCCGCACTTCGGTGCGTGTGTTCGTGTCGAGGGAAACGTGACATAACGAGTCGATTTAAACCACGGATAAATTCGGAAAACATTTAAGCCATCTACCGAAAGTGATATTAACGCTGTTTAGACTAAATAGTTCCTTTCTCTGCTAGCCCAGTGGACGACTGCTACCAACAACAAAGTGGGGCTTCCGGTGGCAAGCATTAGGAAGCAAATAATAAACCCTTAAATTTACCACATTAAATTCCAGCTTGTCGAGTTAAGTGCCTTTAATTCGGCGTGCACCTAAGGGCTGACTGTGAACAAGGCGTTGCTCTCACACGAAACGCTTTGTCATGTTGCGGTTAAGCGAAGAAGAGTCAAATCGCACGGTATGCTAACTGTGTTCGGAGCGCGAGGAGACAGCCGCGGGGATGGATGGACGGGGGAGTTGTTGTAGTAGTGCTGGTGGTGGGGCGACACCACCGAAGCACATGACTAACGCAGTGTCACAGTGTGATGACAGGGATGCTAACACGGCTCTCACTCCGTCGCTGTCTTCTAAAGTTACTCAGGAACTACATTCCGAGCATATTTTCGCTTCAGCTTTTGTTACGCGCCGTAAAGGCGTCGACGTGTGAAACATGTTTACTATCGCTAAACCACACGAGCTGCAGTCCACATAAAATGCAAATAGTGTCGTATCCCCCGCGTGTATGCCACTGTCTTTACACTTGCTTTCTTTTACGTGTATGTGTTTGTTTCCCTGTGAATTTTACAACCTTGACTGTGCACATACCCTTCTCCGGTTAGACTGTGTCAAATGCATCCACAGCTGTGCCTTGTACTGGATGAAACAAAGTGTCAGTCTTCTTTTAGTAGTGGTCACCGGTGGTCGTCAGCAGCATCGAAGATAACGCCTTCTTCCCCCTTTATGGTTCGCAGTTGCTGTAATCACCAAAGTGTCTCCGTTACGAAAAAAGGAAAGAAAACAAAAAAGGGGAAAAAAAGAAAAACGTGTCGGTGCTTCCTGATTTAGGTACAGTGGTAGTGATGATGTTGTTTGTTAAGGGGTGGGGCGGCGTGCAGCTGTAATCCGCCAAGAAATATGGACTAAAAAGCACGCTGGTGCACGTCTGTGCATGATTAGTGACTCGTGGTTCACGGTGGGGAGGGTTAAATAAACGTGATTTTAAAGTGGATCTCACGAGCACAGAAAACAGACGGCTGTAGGATTTGCGCACTCTGAGAGCAAGCTTTACAGCCAGCAGGGTCAACGATTGCACAATACAGACAGACAGTCAGGTTCATGCCTCGCTCAAAACCTCCAACAGGTTAATTAACAGGGTCTCCCCCCCTCGATCGCTTTGGCGCAATTCTCATATCACAAATGTCGATCTTACCACTGCAAATGCAGTTCTCAAATCAGTAATGCATTGCCTCACCCACGCTAGACATTCTTGTTGTTTTTACACAGCTGTGGTTTCTACACATAATTTACTACTATAGATATTTGTTGCTGTGTTTATGCACTTCTTACTTAAATCTGACAACTCATCAAAAAAGTTTGTACTTTTGTCAGTCACAGCTCTTACTTGCTTTCCTGAATAATTCCCAGCATTGCTGATAGTGTTTTTAATAAAAATTTCAAAGACCAGTGTGGTCTTCTGCTGCTGTAGCCCATCTGCTTCAAGATCAGATGTGTTGTGGCTGTTTCTACCTTGAACCTTTGTAACCAGGGGTTATTTGAGTTACTGTTGCTTTCCCATCAGCTCGAAGTAGTCTGGCCGTTCTCTTCTGACATCAACAAGGTATTTTCACCCGGAGAACTGCTGCTCACTCTCATTTTAGACCATTCTCTGTAAACCCTGGAGATGATTGTGTGGGAAAATCCCAATACATCAACAACATCTGAATTATTCACATCATACAGCAACCGTGCCCAGTTCAGTCGTCTTTCTTAATTAATTGCTCGGTTTGAATTTCAGCAGGCTGTCTTGATCATGTCTACATGCCTAAATGTTTTGAGTTGCTGCTGATGTGAAAGGATGATTCGATATTTGGATTAATGTAATGAGCAGTTGAACAGGCGTACATAATAAAGTGGTTGCTGTATGTATGTAGTGTGACTTTACAGGACTATACAGTAGTTGGTACTTTGTTTAAAGATGGTGTATGTGTTCTTTGTCTGTTTTCTGATGCATTATATAAAAAAAAAAAAAAAAAAAAAACCCAGCACGCCCCTGCGGGCGGTTTATCCTTCAAGCTCGGGTCCTCTACCAGAGGCCTGGGAGCTTGAGGGTCCTGCGCAGTATCTTAGCTGTTCCCAGGACTGCGCTCTTCTGGACAGAGATCTCCAATGTTATTCCCGGGATCTGCAGGAGCCACTCGCCTAGCTTGGGAGTCACCGCACCTAGTGCTCCGATTACCACGGGGACCACTGTTACCTTCACCCTCCACATCCTCTCGAGCTCTTCTCTGAGCCCTTGGTATTTCTCCAGCTTCTCGTGTTCCTTCTTCCTGATATTGCTGTCATTCGGAACCGCTACATCGATCACTACGGCCGTCTTCTTCTGTTTCTCTACCACCACTATGTCCGGTTGGTTAGCCACCACCATTTTGTCCGTCTGTATCTGGAAGTCCCACAGGATCTTAGCTCGGTCATTCTCCACCACCCTTGGGGGCATCTCCCATTTTGACCTCGGGACTTCCAGGTTATACTCGGCACAGATGTTCCTGTACACTATGCCGGCCACTTGGTTATGGCGTTCCATGTATGCCTTGCCTGCTAGCATCTTGCACCCTGCTGTTATGTGCTGGATTGTCTCTGGGGCATCTTTACACAGCCTGCACCTGGGGTCTTGCCTGGTGTGATAGACCCCAGCCTCTATGGATCTTGTGCTCAGAGCTTGTTCTTGTGCTGCCATGATTAGTGCCTCTGTGCTGTCTTTCAGTCCAGCTTTGTCCAGCCACTGGTAGGATTTCTGGATATCAGCCACCTCCTCTATCTGCCGGTGGTACATACCGTGCAGGGGCCTGTCCTTCCATGATGGTTCCTCGTCTCCCTCCTCTTTCTTGGGTTTCTGCTGCCTGAGGTATTCACTGAGCACTCGGTCAGTTGGGGCCATCTTCCCAATGTATTCTTGGATGTTCGTTGTCTCATCCTGGACTGTGGTGCTGACACTCACCAGTCCCCGGCCCCCTTCCTTCCGCTTAGCGTACAGCCTCAGGGTGCTGGACTTGGGGTGAAACCCTCCATGCATGGTAAGGAGCTTTCTTGTCTTTATGTCAGTGGCTTCTATCTCCTCCTTTGGCCAGCCTATTACCCCAGCAGGGTACCTGATCACGGGCAGGGCGTACGTGTTGATGGCCCGGATCTTGTTCTTACCATTCAGCTGACTCCTCAGGACTTGCCTGACCCTCTGCAGGTACTTGGTGGTTGCAGCTTTTCTAGCGGCCTCTTCATGGTTCCCATTCGCCTGCGGGATCCCCAGGTACTTGTAACTGTCCTCTATGTCTGCAATGTTGCCTTCTGGTAGTTCAATCCCCTCAGTTCTGACTAACTTCCCTCTCTTTGTTACCATCTGACTACACTTCTCCAGTCCGAACGACATTCCAATGTCATTGCTGTATAGCCTGGTAGTGTGGATCAGTGAATCGATGTCTCGTTCACTCTTGGCATACAGCTTGATGTCATCCATGTACAGGAGGTGGCTGACAACTGCTCCGTTCCGTAGTCGGTATCCGTAGCCAGTCTTGTTAATGATCTCACTGAGGGGGTTCAGGCCTATGCAGAACAGCAGTGGGGACAGAGCATCTCCTTGGTAGATCCCGCACTTGATGGTGACTTGTGCTATAGGCTTGGAGTTGGCCTCTAGTGTTGTACGCCACATCCCCATTGAGTTCCTGATGAAGGCTCTTATGTATGTGTGTGTGTGTGTGTGTGTGTGTGTGTGTGTGTGTGTGTGTGTGTGTGTGTGTGTGTGTGTTTATATATAATATAGCAGCATTCTGACATACCACTGACAATGTGTTAGTGGCCTTGTTCTTTTATATATTTCAAAATGAGTCAAAAGTAATTTAATTGAAAATGTCAATGCCAAGCTGTAGAATATTCAGGAAAGTGTGAGATTTAGAGTTGTGGCTGACAAAAGCACAAACTGTTTTGATGACTTGTGAGATTCAGATAATAACAAATGTCTTTAGCAGTGAAGTATGCATGGAAACTATAGCAGTGTGCACAAAAACAGAGAGAAAAGGCCAATGTGTGTGGGGAAATGTGTTACTGACATTTCTGATGTGAGAACTGCATCAAAGCGATTGATTAAAACTATAATAACACTGCTGTTCATCAGGCACTTAAAGAATTTTAACCATTCATATAGTTGCTCATACTGTAACTGCTGTCATTGCCTTATATGTTAGTATCATGCCGCGTCATATTATCTTTTACATTTTTAAAGAGGGCTTCTGAACATCTTTAAAGTGTAAAGACAATTCTGAAGCTTTGACCTCTATTTGGCTCGTGGTGCACTGTCCGACTTTTCAAAACTAATACAATAACCTCCTAAAGAAAGCATTGATGTTTCATCGCATTCTTTAAAAAGGCCACAAGGGGGCGACTTCTTAAGCAAAAAAAGAGGGGCTCCTTTGATCAGCTCCATCACCTAGTGGGGGTGGGGGGTCATAGTTTGGTCCCGCCTTCACTGTTGTGATTGGTGTGGGGGTAGGGACAGGCTTAGGGCGTCGGGGGGTTCCCCGGAGGCATCTTCCTTGGGGGGCTCAACCCGGGGTAGCGGTCATGTCCGGTTAGGGGCTCTGTTGGCTCTCAGGTGACTGTTTCCTCGTGGCTGCGTGCAGCGGGGCTAGGGGAGGGTCTGTGCTGACGGACGTGGGTTACTGACCTGGTATCCTGGCTGCCCCTGGGTGGGTTCTGGGGGCGCTCCGTCTCTGGGCTGGGGCCCGGGCCGGGCCTCGGGGGCTTGGGTCCTGGTTGGTGTGTTGCCAGGGTTATGGGCGGGTGGGTGCATGGGGCCCAGCCCTGGAGCAGGGTGCCGCCGGTGCATCGAGCCACCTGGGGGGCTCTTCAACTGGTGGGGAAGATTGTCACATCTTGCAGGAGCTTTCCTCTCCTCAGGGGCTCTCTCTGCAGGAGGGGGAGATACAGGAGAGGTGGAGGAAGATTTCAACCTGGGTGTTTATTGTCTTATGTAGTCTGGAAGATGAGTGGATGGTGGGGTGGGTGCAGTTTTCTCTGTGGTGGGGTTGGGTGGACTGTCCCGGGCTCTGTGGGGCCGGGAGGTGCTGCTGCGCTGGGCCCCGGTCTGGATGGGCCTGGGCCCCCTTTCTCTGGCGGGTCGCGGAGTATGGGGGTGCCTACTGGGGTCAGCGGGGGAGCTGGCCCCAGGGAGGGGTCACTTGCCCCTCCCTTCCTTCCCTCCCCATCTCCAGCTGCCTCCCTCTTCCTGCTCCACCACAACCACCCACACATGCAGGACCTTGGAGTAGGGGTATGTCACCAGGGTGCAGAGGAGGCTACCCCCCCCCCCCGTCTGGCTGCCTCTGCCTCAATTTTATCCCACAACTTAGACATTCACATTACTCACACTCTCATTACACATACATATAGGATCTTGGGGGTGGGCACGATACACGGAATCCAAAGTACCATCAGGGTGTACACCCCACCCCTGGCGTCGTTGCCCACCTCTCAATGTTAAATACACGTAGACATTGAGGGCCAGCAGGAGGGACCATGCGCTTACCTGCTGCTCTCTGGCAGGTAGCTCCATGCCCTCCTGGGTTTTAAATGCACCTTAGAACACACATGCATCAACACTACAATGAGCGGGTGGAGGGAGGTTTGGAGTCTTCTCTCACCCCCATTCTCTGCGACCTGCTGGAGCGGGGGAGCTAGGAGGAGGAGTTGGCCGTCCGACTGCGGTCTGGAGTGTGGGGCCTCCCTGCTGCTGCGGGGTCGGGGTGGTCTGCCTCCCCCCACCGCAGGGAAAAGGGTAACACCACCTGGGTCTGGGTGCAGTTCCCCCTCCAGGGGCAAGGGTACCTAGACCCGGTTTGTAGAGTACGCTTGGGGAGTGTGATCGTGTGTACAGCGTCTCTTTATGTCTGTCTCCATGTTGGTT